GAAAGAGAAGGAGATTTATAATTAATTTATATTGGAAATAGTCAATTTAAGGTGCTTTATATTTTCATTAAAGTACTTTGACTATTCCTAGGTAAAATTTGTTAAAGAAGATGGTTGGAAAAACTAGATGGTAATTGTTAATGAAGCATTAGTATCATTATTAACCTTAGATCAAATCCTGTCTCACACTCTCAGGCAGAGAGAAGCCTTCTCTGCATTTGACCCTTTAAGTAAGAATAACAGTCTCTGCAGAAAATAAATATTTGTTTCCCTTTTTGAAAATGTTTAGATGCAATTGATCCCCAAAAGATTATTTTTTAAAAGTTTTGGAGAACAGCAAAGCTGCCAGAACAGCTACAGCATCATTAAAAATGTATACTAAATCACCTCCATCCCAGAGAGAAAAATGGCCTTTCAGATTAGACTGGAAGTGCTTGGCAAAGCACTGTGGTGAGACTATGGCATGCCAGTGGTGGTCAGTAATAAAGATAATTTTAACCTGAGACCTGTGATTCTCCTGAAGTCAGTAGCAGGAATTATACATTAGAGAGGAAGAGTGTGTGTTAAAAAAGAACACTTTTATGTTGTATATTTTTGTGTACGAGTGCTGTGTTTTCTTTTAACCTATTCATAATATTATCTGGAATTCAAAGGAAATTAATTCTCCTTGAAAAAGAAACAGCCTTACATTTAATTTCAATGGCAAAATTTCCTTAGCTTGAAGACCTGCACATTGAAATATAAGTGAATAAAATTTAAGTAGATATATCATAAAATATCTCCAATTCTAAATGACACAGAAAAAGCCTGAAAAAAAAGGGAAAAATATTATTTAAATAATTATATGACCATGTGAAGGGGGCAAAATGCCCTTACGTTCAGAGATGCTCTTACGTTCAGAACCAGACCAGTTCCATGGCATTGCTCAGGTAAATGGGACGTACTGCCATTTCAGCATCTGCCTTACAGCAATGTACCCCTAATGTTTTTTTTCCTTAGTTTCTCTCCACACATATGTGCATACAACCCTGCCTGCACACCCAGAGACACGTGCCTGTTGCTCCATAGGAAATCTTTTGGTTTATTATAGCTTCACCTTTGCATTCTTTGTAAGGAGCGAATGTACACTCCACAAAGTTTTGCATGCCATCTTGTGGTACAGCTAAGAAGTGAGGTTGTTAAATTCATCACGCTTTAGTGCATAGGTTGGCTCCTTAGTATCTACTTCAACCACTTTGTCCCTGCATGGCAGATTATTGGCAGTTTTCTATTATTTCTTAGGCTTGTTACTCTAAAATTGATCTTTATAGCCAGTACTCTGTGCTTTGCAATCTAGCAGGGACAACTAGCTCTGGAGCTGGCTAGTTGGAAATAAATTTTTTAGTATTTGTGCAACACTATATAAGAACTGTAGTGTGGTTTGTATGTTTGGGAGTGGAAGAAAAATAAGCTGGAAGTAATGCTTTTTGGGTGAGAAATGCAGTTGCTAATGCTAAAAGACCTACTGAAATGAGCAATTAACTTCAGACAGATGCATTGGGCAAAATAAAGCTACTATTGTTGGTATAAACCCATAAGCCTTACTCATGGGAGAATGTACTGCTTTGGCAAAATGGTGCAAGAGTAATGTTTTATAAATTATTTATATGATTTGTGCTAGTTGGGCTAGTTGGTCTGAGATTGCTAATGAGACAGTGCAGCCTATTTAAAAAAAGAGAGGCTTTGGAAACAGTAAATGCAAAGAGGTGTGTTTAGGTGGTTGGAAAACTGGGAGAGATTCAAAGACTTCTTAGGCAGGTTAGACTTTCAAACTCAGCTAAGCAAGGTTCGAGCGCAAAAGGCAAACTGCAGAGAGAAGTGCGCCCAAGTAAAAAGACAGATAAGAGGCTCAACTCAACACGCTGGCTGAGCGGCTGTGGAGATCACGGGAGCTGGGGATGCTGAATAGCTCTCAGGAGATGCCCGAATCTTTAGGTTTCATTTTGCAGACCTGTGCGTACAGTGTCTCTCTAAAATCAGGGACAGTTTATATGACTAGCAATTGCAGCACCAGGGAGTTACAGGGTAGAAAAGGGATTCCAGATGATAAGCCTAGACATACAGGCAGGAAAATGGCCCAGACAGCCAAAAGGCCTCCAGCCATCTTCAGAGATTCCTTACTATGATGGGGTCTTGCAGCCTGGATTGTTATTATTAGACAATAAAGGAAAAATGAATCTAACTCCAAGCAGAAATACAATGAAAGATATTTGCGTTCATTAACTGTTGGTTTTCCTCTCCCTTAGATAACATCATCAAGAGGATATTTAATATCTTGAAGTTCACTTGGGTCCTTTTCCTGGCAACACTAGACAGTTTTACAGCTTGGCTTAATTCCATCTCAAGAGAACACATCGATATCTCCACTGTGCTAAGAATCGAGCGCTGTATGCTGACCAGGGAGATTAAGAAGGTAACGCCTTTGGTCTTTTTTGTCTGCTAATGCCATTTCCAGCTCAGTGAAAAATGAAAGGTTGTCTTTTCAGATCACTCTGTTAAGGAGAAAAATTATAAAAATCTCACTTATACATGCATTTTAAAAATAGGTCTGGACTCTTTTACTGCTTGCTGTTTTATAAATACATAAATAATAAATTTCTTGATTTATTATCTGGACACAAAACAAATTACTGGAAAAATAATTCTTTAAGTGGTCAATATAAGGATTTGGCTGAAACTCTCCTGTGATAAAGTGTGGTTTTGAAGGGACAGGATAGATTCAAGTAGAGAGGAGAAGGCATGGCATTTTAAACAGCTCAAAAACTACCTCAGTCTGCATATTTCAATCTGTTTGTAGACCAGCTTGCCTTGGAAATGCTCACTCAGGGGGGTTGGGCTAGATGACCTCTAAAGGTCCCTTCCAACCCAAAGCATTCTATGATTCTATGAAATGACTGACAACATACAGGCATAATTTTCTTCACTCACAATGAAGCTATATGGTCCTCCACAAACTAATTATATATCAGTAAAACCCATTATTATCAAAGATTAATGTTGATAGTGTAACTAGAAGTTTATTTGGATCTTCAAAATGCAAGTAGGTGATACCTTGAAGTTGGATAAAGCTCTCATTTTAAGCACAGATATTTTTACATATGTCACTAGCTACCCAACTATTTCTGGAAACTTGGCCTAGGAGCCTCATTTTTAGTTCTTTCCAGTTGTTGTTAAAAGCTGCAGACTGTCTCAGAGATGAATAGGCCAAAAAGGTCAACAACATATTAGTACTCTTGACCTTAATAAAGCCCCATATTGCCTGGCCACTGTCGACTTCTGCTGGCACAATAAGCAGACTGCCCACAACCCCAGGACGTTCGAGAGGCAGGCATTCCAAGTCAGAGGGAATCTGTACCCAGTCTGGCCAGGAGGGCCTGAGCCCAAAAAGAGGGATGCTTCAGTGTTAGTGTTTAGTTACTGTTATTTTCCCCAAGGTGTCCAATGGTAAGTGGATAATAATAATAATAATAGCAAATAAATAAATTTTAAGAAACCCCGAAACTGAGCAAAAGAAATGTGGCATATTCAGAGCAAATCCTTCTTCTGAGCATGTCCCAGCTTGTGGCAATGGATGGTTTAGGGCACCCTAAACCAGAAATTGCATCTGGATCATTATGCTTAATAGTACCAGGGAATGTATATTCTTGGAGTTTGGCTACTCCCTTTTTAATCTGTTTTTAATGTTGGCTTGCAGAAGATCCTACAATACAGAGTTCTGTAGTGTCATTCCATATGGTGTATTTGAGAGTACTTCCTCTTATTAATTTTAAACCCACTTCCTGATTGTTTTGGGGTCTCCTGTAGATCAGAGATGTATTCCATTTTCCTCTACTATTCCTTATTGTATAAATCTGCATGGAGTCTTCTCCTCAGTCATTCTTTTCCAAGTTAAAAAGCACCTTTCTTTTTAGCCTCTCTTCACATGGAATCCATCCAGTACTTCTGATTATCTTTATTGTCCTTCTTCATACAATTTTCAGTTTTAATATGGCCTTATTAAGACTGGATGGCCAGAACTATGCACTGTTTTCAAGGTGAGGGCAAATCACAGATTTATACGGCAGTATGATGTGAGGGTTTTTTGCTTTCCTAGTAAGATCTAACAGTCAAGCTCTTTTGATTTTTAGTGAATGCTGCCTATTTTTAGGGGTCTATACACTCTGAGCCCAAGACCTTTAAGGCTAACGAGAGCTGACATAAAGCCTGTCACTATGTGTATACAGTTTAGGTTATTTTTCCCATTACATTTCTTGCCTTTTTTTACCAAGTCCCTTAGTTTTATCAAGTTCTTCAGTAGTACTTCAGTCAACTTTGCTCCTGAATATCCCAGATAATTTTTTTTCCTCTGCAAACTTTATCACATCACTATTTTCCTCCTTACACAGATTATTTCTGAACATGCTACACAGTAAAAGTCTTTGGGACAACCAGTCAATGACCTTCTTCCTTCGTAAAGAAAAAACCATTTATTTGTGTCCTTTGTCTCCAGTCTTTTAATGAAGGATAAGTACAAGAGATAGATGTAGTCTGCTTTATTTTGTGACTACTTAATTTCTTACAAGGGTCACTCAGGATCACTCCTGAAGCCATGTTTAAGGATTGGTCTTCCCTTCTCTGGCACTGTTTCATCCATTGGTTCCTGCAGAGCTCTTGGACGAGCACCTTTCCACTCAGTGCTCAGTTTATTGTTTTGTTCTCAGACTTGTTTTTTATAAAAGAATTACTCCAGTCGTTCCATGGGATTCAAGTTATTCCATTGGGAACATTGGTGACTTTTTCTGCAGCAGAGAGGGATGCAAAAAATTCAGTCTTTTCTTGTCCTGTTGCCATAACTGCCTCACACCTCTTTATGTCTTGATCACCTGTTGATACCCTGGCTTTCTGGCAGCTGATTTTTATGATATTCTTGAAAATGTTTTTATTATCAGATTTTTTTAAATTTTCACAAGTTATTCCTGAGCATCTCTTTTGGTGTAATTTGCTGAAGTTTTACATTTAACTCTAGAAAGTTCATTCTTGTTTGTTTTTCCTCATGACTTTCACTTCTTCAAGGATGTCTTATTGCCTCTTCCTCCTGGTCTTTTCCATTCTGGTTACCTCTGTGTGTGTGTGTGTGCACGTGCAGGCTCTTTCATGATGCTTACCTATTCTGCATGAGTACATTTGAAAATTAACTTGAGTTATTGTGCATTATTATTCTGGTGGCACCTTCTGTAATCTTCCTTAATATTTAACAGGCACTAGCGCACTCCTGGTTTGATGGTCAAAGATCAAGTCTTCATACTATACTTTTTCAGCATGAATTGGTTCAAGTCCACCCACAGAGACTCTGTGATAATCCTGGCACAGTGAATTTACTTAATTTGTTAGACTTTACAGTTTTTGACCCATGCCACCTCTTTCTGAAGCTATCTTCCATTCCATCCTTGCTATAAAATTCATGATAGTACAGCATTGTAGTCATACTCCTTTTTGCTCCAGGTCTCGGAAGTCCCTGCTATTTCAGCATCCTCACTGAAAATCACATGATTCTTTCTCACCGCCCCTGAGCTTTTAGACTCTTAACATTTATACAGAAGCCAGGCTAACTGCCTTTTTATGGCCATTACTTATTTGGGACCTTATTTTGATCATTCTTTGCTACTGCTGACCTCAACTTTATTGAGCTTTTCCTAGACTTTGTTCCCAATAGATTTATTTATTTATTTATTTATTTATTTCAATTTCGTGTTGCTGTCACAGCTCTTGTCCTTTATCCCAGGCCTGCAGTCGAGCTAGAAGGTAGCATGTGCTGTTTCAGAGGCAAGCTGTCATAATGGCATAAACATTTATTACTGCAGAAGCAACACAACTTGTATAAAAAAAAAAAACAAATTAAAAACCTGAGATTCAGATTTTGTTCTTAAGATTTTTTTTTTTTTGACAAAACTTCAGATTTTGAGAATTTTAGATTTGGGACAGTGTAGAGGACCAGAGTTGAAATACTAGTAACTAATAATATTAGTAAAGGGAATACAGGCAATATTTTAGAGTACTTTTATTATTTTAGCTGGAAAAGTCCTTGCATAAGACTTCATTATAAGTCCGAAAAATGACTGTTCAAGAATAGCAGTCTTCTCTCTCAGTGTATCTTCTGAAGTCAATGCAACTGCTAGTGGAATAAGTTGGATGTGTTTCTGCCTAAGAACAGGCTATAAAAGTCTCAGTTTTATTCTTATGACACACCTTTCGAATTCTGATTGCAATATCATAGCCAGAAAGAATTGATTCTGTGCCCAGATCTGGGCTGACAGTTAATAAAACCATCCTTTCATGAACTTGCTTGATCTTGAAGTCACAGAGAAAGAGTAAAGGTCTTCAGTGTATTTTTCATGGTTTTCCAACTGTATCCATACTTCATGAATAAATTCTTATTTTGGGACTCTAATGAAAATCTGGATCAGTTTGTACATGACCTGTTTCTTTTTTTTCTGTTTAAAAAAGCTGCAACTGACCACTAATAAGATGTATGATTGTTCTTAGAGTCAGTGAAGCTATCTAAAAGAGATATCTCAAAAGTTGCTGGAGTACAGGTTGAGTCATGGTCCCATCCCACACCTCATTTTCATACTGAATGATTTGCAGTCCACCCAGCAGTTTTGATGGCTATGTATAGCCTGAAACTGCTTGCATTGCTCCAGTTTTGCTTGAAAACCCAACACTTCGTGCCATGGTAATTTAAGTCAGGATATGACTTGCGCTCTGAAAAGGAACTACTAGTGGGAGGTTATTATTTACTAGGAAGCTTTTTGCACAGTCCTTAATGTGTTCCTTGCCAAATGACAGAAGGAACCAGTTCCTCAAAGAATACACCTCTACCCTGCCATGTACCTCTACCTCTACTCTCTTCCACAGGGAAATGTTCCAACACGGGAGAGCATCCATATGTATTACCAGAACCACATGATGAAACTTTCTAAGGAGTCAGGACTGGACTCAATTGATAAAAATCCTGGTCAAGCTTCTGGTTTGCAAGCATCTGAAAGAATGGATAGTTTAGATTCAGGAGCTTCTCGTGACAGTATCTCCAGGTATTGATTTAATTTTATTTTGTGAAAGATAGGGGGATCATGCAGTAGACATAATTTTGGATGATGTCCAAGTACTGACGAACTTTCTAATCATTGTTGAATCCTCTTTTTGATTTATCTGGGCCATTTTAATAATGAAAACTCTGCTATATGTTACTGTTCCTTCATAGTGGTGGACTCAGTTGTTGGCTTAACTCCTTTTCCACTGCTTGACTACCCCACTGCTTTCTGTTTCCCCTAGAATTAGGAGTCATTGACAGGGGTTCTGATCTTGTAAAAAATAATGGAAAATAAGAGCCTGCTGAGGATGCTTCTCGGGTACTGTTTTAGGAATTCAGGCATGGACTTTGAGGAACGATCATTCATTGTGAATATTTTGTCTTTATAAAATAAATTGTTGTCTGTTGCCCGCAAATCAAAAAAGGCTTTGCATTGAGAGATATTCTGGATTTGAGAGAGCAAAATCCCCCTCTCATACACACAGGGCAAAGATCATTTGAAGAGCCTGATTTCCTAACTGCTATGATTATAGTCCAGCAGAGCTACACAGTTTGTGGATCAAATGCCTATACTAGTTCAGGAAAACTGCCTTCCTCTTTCTTTTCTGAAGATGGATGCCATCAAGTCCCTTGCCAAAACTACTCATGCTCATGCTGCTCCATGCACACCAAGGCACACACATTCACTTCCTTCTCTTACAGAGGCAGCCTGTTCCAACCGTGTCCCTGGTGTTCTTGACTTTTAAGAGACTGCAGAAATTGTCCAATATGAGGGGGAGAAGGGAGGGCTTTGGAAATCCAGCTGTTTCAGAACCTGTTGCATTCTGCTGTCTCCTGTTCTTCTCTGAAGTGCGGCAGTATCACATTGTGTTTGATACTCCCAGCAAACTCAGTAGCTTCTGTTTACAGTAAATTATGCTTAGCTTTTACTAATGACATATGGGTAGATGTTAGTAGACTGAAAATAATGAGGGCTTGTCTTTCTGATGTTATTGAAAAGCAAGTGTAAGAGAGTACCTGTGAGTACTGTGCTTCAACAAAATATTCACAGATTGCTCCCCAGGGTGAGCACTGGCCTTTGAGAGGTTCACTCCAGTAAAAACACCAAATCTGAGCAAATCTTTCTCGGTGGCTAGCTACCCAACTAAGCAACACCTTTGTGTTTTGTCTCAGTTTTGCAGGAGTCAGATGACGTGAGAAAAATGTAAAGCCAAATTCTATTACCAGCTCACTTGGAGCCACTTGGATATCTGCAGGGCAGAATTTAACTCCACAAAGTTCAGCCTCACCTAAAGAAAGAACAGTAATATCAGTTCTGCTTTCATTAAATAGTTTTTGGTCACACTGTTTACTATAGATAGAAGTTATCATTATTATACAACCACGTTAGCAAGAACTTTAACTAGAAGCAAAGGGAAGCCAATTCCAAAATTAATTATAAAAATGAAAGACAAATCTGGTAATTTTCATGTGTAAATTCTACCTCTTTGATGAGATGGTATCCAGTGTTGAGCTCCACTTATGTCTTTTTTTTTTCAGAATACGAACCCATTTGTCACCCTGCTTTGAGCGTACTTACACATTTAAAATCCCTTTTCAAACTCAGAGAATTTAGTGATTCTGTGGAGCTACTTTGCAACAGAAAAAGTTACATTTTTTACATGTGTTACTGTCATCTCCATTTCCTCAGAAGATGTCACAGGACCTATTGACAAAGAAATAACAAAGGCAGTATTATGACTGATTTCTCTAATCTCAAATTCTTTTTCTGGTAATGAACAATCAAATATTCTTGCACCGAGACTATTTACAAATTGTGCACATCTGCTATAATAATAATGACCTGTAATTAGAGGAAGCAAAAATGAGTCTGTTGATTGAATGATAATGCCATCTGTTTATTGCGGCACCCTTGCATGTCTCTTCCTGGGATTACAAAAGTGCTTGTGAGCTTTTCTAGAAATATGAAATGTTTTAAATTTCATGTGAGTTTATTGAGTGATTTTTTTTAATTACCCAAACATTTCGATGTAATGATTTCCAGTAAATGTAAAAGTAACTGATTAGATCTAAAGCATCCCTGTGATTATGGATCTAGAATTGCAGTGGAAAACTTTTGGGAAGGGGCAGAGGGTTTCTAACCAGTGTTGTGGTTATCCTTCTTTGGCTGCCCTACGCAAAATTCTGTAGTGGACATTAGGTCCCTGAGTAAGATGGGCATGTCTGGAAGTACACAGGCTGCAGAAGCACAAAAGCTATTCCATAATAATAATACATATTCCTCAGTACAGGAATTACTGTAGGTATCTGCTCAGTGCTCTAAACACTGGATTTCCAGAGAGAACAACCATCCTGATCAGTTGCATGAACTGTAAATTTCTTGTGAAGTTCAGGGCTGACCCTTGTAAATCTTATCCAGGGATGTTGATCTTACCCTAAATAAAGCTCTAAAAGGAGTTTTGCAGAGTATCCTTTGTGGGATTTTCTCTTTTAGCAGGGCTGTCATTTATTCTCAGTCATTTTCTATTAAATAGATAGAGGTGTAATGAGGTATTTGTAATGTTATTGTTTGGTTTATCTTTATCTATAAATACTCTCATGTATCCTAAAGGCAAAGTGCAAAGTTCATATGGGCCAGGAAGAGAAGAGACTCATGTTGATCCTTAACAAGCTCTTTGAGGAGCACCAGCAGAAGGGATCGGGAGCTAGCATGGTAGAGCATTCACTGCTGTTTGTTTCCATTTGACAGATGAACTGCTTATTAGGTTAAACAGCTTGTGAATTTCAGTAACATGGTTAGGAACTTACTAAAACCAGCTGGCCACCTTTATGGGACTTTGCCTACGATTATGAAACGGGAGCTAGACTCAGGTCCTAAGTCAGATTTCAGCATATCCAAGGTTTTGCATCCAGTTCCATTTGTATTAATTTTTGTCCGTCAGAAATAACATGTTCAGTTCCCAACTCTACCTGTGTGTAGGCTTTTTTAGGAGCTGCAGGTGGGAGCCCCTGACCTTCCTGTAAGAGTGAACATACAAGTGTGGTCAGGCTGTTTACAGATACCAGTTCTCATCTGTGCTTCCGTCACCAGATGGGAGAATAGGGCTTGAGGCAGGGAGTACTGATAAAGGATGAAAGGAGAGTCCCAGTTTGGGGCTGGATCTGTGTCTGATTTAGGAGAGTGAATGATAGGAAATGTCTGGGACATTTGCTTGCAGGTGTGGGGAGTATAATAGCTCCTAAAGGTCATGCCAGTCAGTAACTAGCCCATGGACAGAAAATAAAACAGAAAAAATTGTAAGTCACCCGTTAAACTAATAAACTCTCTGGGAAGGGTAAATTTGTTTAGCAAAAAGGAAGTCATAAAGTAAGCAATTTCCCGCTCACCAAGGATAAAAACATCTCTGCTATATATATCCTTATTTGAAATGGATACCCGATCAACTTTATATAAAATGCTTGAACTCGGGGCTTTTAATGAACATTCAATTTAAAATACCTGGTCCTTGAACGATTTCAAGAAGCTAATGCTTTTCAAGGTCTCCAAGGACACAAATTTGAAAAGTCACTCAGGAAGATATGCTTGGATTAAATTTATGTGATAGTCAATGACTGAGTCAACATCAGCTTTGCCAAGTGTAAATCTCTCCACTTTATTGGTGTTCTCCTTTCCTCCATGTTCAAAAGCATGTTCCTAAAGTACATAAAGAATACAGACTCTGCTGCAGGTGTCATCTCATACACACCTCCTGATGTTCAAGGATACAGAGTAGCTGCTCAGTCAGTAATTCTTCTGATGATTCATCTTTCATTTAAAACAGCTTTAAACCAACTTATTGGAAGGACTCTGTCTGGGCAAATGTTTTTATCTATTGGGATTAATAGGTGTTTTTCCTTTCATTTTTCTGGGACCCAGGTCAGAACTTACATGTTTTGAAGGACTGCTAGCATATGTTTCTTCCATTGAAAATACATGAACAGGCATGTGCTACTTTGATTTCAACAGCTGCCCTGCTTAAGGCCCTTGGAAGGCTCCCTTTGAACTATGTCTGCATTTAAAATGCTTCAAAACCTTAGTAAAAGGTGTTACTTTTGAAAAGAATAAGCCCTTGAGATGTAAAATAACATGTGGATAACATTGTAGCACGCAGACAGAAAGGTAATCTGCAAAAATAGATTGTCTACTTGCTGCCATCTCCCTATATTTTAGCCCCAAAACCTCACTGATAGTACAACCACCTGGCTATACTCCATAGGTGTATGTGCAAAGGGAAACCTCCTCCCTCATGTCCCCCTGGAGTCAGTAACATGGAGCTCCAACTGATTTCCATGCTGCTGAATCAGGCCTCTAGGGTGGATCTCCTGTTCCTGTAGGAAGCAACATTTGCTGCTTCATCAAAACCCTGCACCGTGCAGACAGCCCTCCAGGTTTTGTCTGAAGGATGCTTGTGTGCCTTTGCACACACACAGAAATAATGAAGTGGCTTGTAAAGCGTCTTGGCCAAATGAACTGGCAGGGCAGAGGTGCCCCTGCCATTAATACTGTTTTTAAGGAAAGTATTTCACAATACCTTTGGCGTATTGGTGATACTTTTCTTCTATTCAAAGACCTAAGTATGCTTTTAGCCTCAGCCCATTCTGTCAGAAAAGACCATCAGTGAGTGCAGGCCTAAGAATAACTGCTTCTTCGCTCCACATACTTTGCTGTTTTCCTCCCCGTTTTCCTTAAGGCAATAATTGCAAACCGTCTTTTCACGCCAGCAAATTTTTTTCCTCACTTCAACCCAGCAAGACCAAAGTAACATGGAAAACACCATTGCACTTCCCTTCTGACCTCTTTTGCAATTCTCTGTGACCCTGGACAAACATAATGCTTGCCAAGGAAGCAAATTCCCTGCTGCTACTGCTCAGGTGTAACACAGATGGACTCAAAAGAAGAAAAGTATAGTGTAAATCCTGCATTTTGGGGTCCTTTCTTCTCTCATTCTATCTGAGAGACTCAGGCAGGTCACTGCATGTGTTAAAACACCAAGTCCCTCAACTTATTTCATAGACATCTGTGTTTTTCAAAGATTTTTACAGGAGAGAGAATTCTTTTACCTACCATATGTCATTAATGTATTTGCTTCTTTCCTGTCGCTATGTTATATGCTTGTATTTAATTATGTACTTTCTTTCTCATAACTCATCCAGTTCTTCTTTTCTCCAGTAACACACAAATGCTCAATGTATGGTGTATGTCTCTGGTGTCCTGTTGTATTTGATAAGTGAAAGGAGATAAGGGTTTATTATATCTGTTCTTTCTTTCAAGACGTGCATGTTACCAATTTTGAAATAGTTTTTAAGCTGTGATTGAAATAAATGAAATCTTCTGGAAAGAATCATCATGGCTTACTACTAAATATCAAAATAAAAGCCATCCTATGCAGAGCAGGTTATATTTGGCATGCATCTACTGGCTAAATATCATATCCGATTTGGCTCTTTGGTTCGGAAAGAGGATTAGCCAATGTCTGACAGCTATTTTTCTATTTGTGGAATATGAGCTTATTCAGTTTTAAGGGCTCTTTTAGGAAATTGGCTTGTACCTGTGTAAAAAGGCTCAGCACAGTATATCATTAATAAAATAGAATTTGTACAGAAGAGGTCACTTCCCAAAACATTTTTGAGGAATTTGGGAATTTCAGGGGGAAACAAAGAAAATAAAACCTCCTCACATATGTAATTTGGTGCCCCTGGAAAGCATGTAGAGCATTGTGTTGGTTTCATATCTTTGAATAGTGAATAGACAATTGTTAGCCTTCTATAGCCCCTATATGAATATGGCCGTGAGCAATCTGTGCATAGAAATGTGTTTACATGGTGACTCTAAACAAATCCTTATCTTCTCTCTGAACCTTTTTTCTCTGTGTCAGTGTTTTGCTGCATGGCAAGCATATTTGTTTACTGAACCATGTGTATAGTAATATCATTTGTATTTAACACTGTCTTTATAACTGTTTGCGCTGCTAGCTGCTACACTGAAGCAACCATGCTGTTCTCAAGGCAGTCAACCCTTGATGATTTAGATGGACCAGACACTGTTCCTAAAACAAGTGAGCGCGCTCGACCTAGGCTTCGTAAAATGCAGAGCATGGATATGTCCTCCTCATCAGCTGACAGTGGCAGTATAGTGTCAAGGTGCTTAACACATGCATGCTTTGTTCACTCATTTACCCATACCATTATACTTACTGCAGTGTACATACATTTGCATTTGCAGATATGTGGTGTACAGAGTGGTTTGCATGGTTAATGGAAGCTTTACTCCCTTCTGTGTTGTGGCGCGATTCTGAGGTTCAAAGTCAGGGTCATAATCTAGGATTTATTTGCTGTTTCACTTCTTATTCTGTTTGGTTTGGTTTGTTTTTCATGCTTAATTCGTGTATTTTTAAAAGTTGTTCCATTGCATTACACTGTCTGTCTAAAATGAGGCTAAAGTCTGCATTTATTCAGCTACAAAAGAATCTGATTTTCAGAGTTTCTGAGCTGATGGTTGTTATTAAAATTGGAAGCTGGAAGTGAAGTTTCTCAGCTAATCAGTTATCCTAAATATGGACTTAGATGTCTAATTTTAGAAACTAAGATAGGCAAACATTGGCCCTGCTCTTTCAATTTTTAGTTTTCCCCATATAGGAAAGATTGCTAAATATGTTTTGATTACTTTACCATTGATTTACAGTCTGTGAGGTGTTGGAATTAAGAAAGGGAAAATAGCTATGAAAAGATAGTGAATAAACATCCAGTGCAAGAGAGAACTGTTCAGAGCCATTCACTCACTTTTTAGCGGGTAAAAAATCGGTTTATATGACATTGGGATACAGTGTTTCAACTAGTGTTATAAATATTATAAATATGAAATTTTATGGCTTATTAGATCATTCTTTTTCAGCATTTAAAGTGTTTTACAAATTTTTGGTGTCAGTTTTGAAATGATGGGATTTTATGGTTTTGTGCATTTTAACCAGTATGAGTGCTACCATGAATCATCAAAACATACATCCTAATAATAGTGTTACACGTTCTAATTAAAGGTCTGCTAGAAATAAAGTGATCTAACATAGCCACAATAGGTTTGGAAGCAGTGTAAAAGAAAAAGAGGTGGAGCAATTTTAATTTTGGCAGGACATGGTAGTGCCAGCTGACTTTGCCAGTGCCAGTTTTCTTTAAAAGGTTATATTTTAGGTGAAAAAATGGCCCCATTCATTTCATATGAGCATAGGAGCTATGTAAAATCTGGTTTTGTCACTGTTGAGATACAACAACATGCAGCCATCAAAATCACTGAGTTGATGCCTATTGTCTAACCTATGGAGAAGGAATGGAATGGAGACTAAAAAGAGAAAGAGTGATGTTTGAGGGGAGACATGAAAAAATGCTTGTAAGGGAAGAAAAGGGTGAAAGCAAAGGCAAGAAAATATTTTTAAAATTATGGTGTCCAGATTCCCATCTGAAGTCATCAAGCTGCATGAATTTACATCAGCTGAGACTGTTGCAGAGCACAGACCATTAAGAGAGAAAGTGGTTATGGACATGCAAAGCCAAGAATAAGCAAGCTGAACAAGCAGAGAACTGAACAGAGAGAGTAAGAACAGTTGGAAAAGAAAATAGGTAATACAGAAGAAAAGCAGGCAGGTAAGGTAAAAATGAAGACTGTCTTGAAGAACATAGGGCAATCTACAGGTAAGCAAGATACCCTGTTACTGGAACAGTTTTGTAGTCTGGATTGTATTTCTCCATGTTAGTGATTTACTTGTTCTTTTATTTGGAATCAGAATTGATATGTGCATTCACCTCATGTTCCAGTTGTATTCAGCACCTGTACAGTGGTTGTTAAAAACACCATGTTTGGAAGGAAACCCATGGCTGCCTATCATTCACCATGGAGCAAGCTTTAAATAGATGTAATAGCAAGTCCTGATTCTGGTCAGAAAGTGTTTGAACTACTTTCAGAAAGTTAGCCTTATTTCTCTTGATGATAGTATTACTTTGCCCTTTGCTGGTGTCAAAAGATAGTGAATCACTGTGAGTTCACTGGGATTTCTCTCAGGCGGCAGATGGACCCAGGTGGTCCATCTGTGTAAGAGGAGATCATGATGATATATTTTCTACCAGATTATATGAACTTTGAAGGCCTGGGAATGCAATGGGGTTGCTCAGCTGTCTACATAAAGGTACAATTAACAAACTTTGCTCAATGGTGAGCCTTGTAAGTCTCAACTCTCTGTCCATCCCCAACAGTGAGCCTACGCAGGTCACCATGCTCTATTCTCGTCAGGGGACAACAGAAACCATTGAGGAGGTAGAAGGGGAGCATGAAGAGGAAGGAGCTCACTCCGCATCAAAGCTGGAGGAAGAGGAGGTGGAAGACTATAGCCTTGGTTCAGAAGGAGCTGTGTATACTCCTGATACAGATGTGCCATTGTACTCCACCGTGGATAGCAATGCAGAAGCTCCACCCTCCTATAGCAAAGCTGTCAGCTTTGAACACCTTCCCTTTGGCTCCCCAGATGACTCAGCTGGTAAGAGCCTTATGATGGTGAGCCCAGACGACAGTCGGACGGACAAACTTAATGATACGATTCTCCCTCCATTGACGCACGAGCTAACAGCTAGTGAGCTGCTTCTGAACAAGTAAGGACCTTCATCAGGGAAAAATTGTTGGTCCCAGTCTGTGAAGTTTTGTCATTACAGGTTTTTTTTGTCTCAGAACTAGCCTACAGTTTCTGATACAGACCTTGCACTAAGTTTGATTTAAGGGAAGAAGCTCATTTCCTGTGCAGTTGTTCTAACTACAAGTTTCTAAAATTATTCAAATTCATGTTGGAAAGAATCTCCACTTTCTCCCCAGATACCATAGCTAATGGTTCTAATTAGCATTGGATTTCTGTGCTGCAATTGTCATGGGGTCAAGGGCTTTTCTAAATATTCCTTGTGGAGAGGGCTTCTCTTCTCCAGGCAACTGTGATTTCAAATAAGTTTCCTCCAGGGCTATCTGGGAAAATATTTCTCCTTTAATTATTTTGGATTACTATAAGGGATACTATGACCTTTGGCAGAGTTTTTGTTTAAGCCAGTAGGAGCTGAGAGCTATGTAGAGATACCACCTTGCTAAGTACTTTCATTAGGGATGGTATGTTCCCCTCTTTGCCCCTCAGACACTGTGCTCAGTAGCACAACCATCACTGAGGTAGGGATGGTGCTGCTGCTCTTCTTCCTCTGCTTTCCAGCCTGACTCAGCTAGGGGAGAGCCTCCCCGAATGCAAGGACAAAATCTTAAACCGTAGAAATGCCTTTCAGCCTGACTGCATCTGGAGAGAGGCTGGTGTAGATCTGACTTTGTAGATGCAGTGTCTTTTCTTCTGGTTTTCCATAGTCATTTTTGCTTTTCAGTAAGATCTCTTCTCAGGCCAGGGCACTCTTTATGAAAAGCAAAGAGAATTGCGGGTGTATGTGAAAATCATATAATGACTTCTTGCTGCCTTTTATATTTATTTGAGTTAGGTAAACGGGAGAAGATTGGACACATCTAATGCTCAAGGGCATTTATTGTGTTCTAATCTTATGTCACAGGACTATTCATAATATACGTCTCCTGATGGACCTCTGGAGTTTCTCCAGATTCCCATTTGTGTTGATAAATCAGATATGAATCCAGACAGGGCCACACCAGCATGGCATGTTTTACATGAGATATATTGGTTGGGCAACTGTAGGAAAGCGGTGCTTGTAGAAGTTCTTGGGCCAGGCTGACTTTCTGGGTAAATTAAAAAACAGCAGAACAGTGCTTCTAGTTATTTTGCCTGAAATTCCTGTTTTCGGAGCTTAGAATCAGGCTATTTGATTATAATACCAATTCCCATCTTTTTTTTTTTCCCCCCCATTGAATTCAGCAGCAGTATTTTATACTTTTTCAAAATGAAAAATAGTAGCAATTTAAAAAGTAGCTTGTGAAATTAATTTTAATTTCATTTACGGTACTCTGCTCCTCACAGGATGTTTCATGACGATGAGCTGGAGGAATCAGAGAAGTTCTATGTTGGTCAGCCTCGAGTCTTGCTTCTTATTTATGCCCTGTACAATACACTGGTGGCCCGGTCTGAAATGGTGTGCTATTTTGTGATCATCCTTAACCACATGATCTCTGCCTCTATGATAACCCTGGTGCTTCCCATCCTTATATTCCTTTGGGCCATGCTGTCTGTTCCTCGGCCAAGCAAGCGTTTCTGGATGACAGCCATTGTCTACACTGAGGTATGCTGCTGGTTTTGCAACCCCATGTCTAACACAGAAAAGTTAAGTTGTAAGCTTTGCATGGTCTCTTTTCTGGTTTTGATCTCTAGGATCAGGGGTCTCTGGCCCTTCATATTAATGTAAATATTTGCTAAAGTCTTCAGCAATTTCTGTGGTATGAAAAGGTCTTGTTTGTGTTTTTCTTCATTGCATTGAGTAATATCCTTCCTGGCATGTAAGGCAGTTATCACAAGAACACACCATTTGCAAACAGCTGGTATATAATTGGTAATCAAGAGACAGTATACACTGCTTGTGGTATCTCAGGTACCACTGAGCATCATCTGTTGGTAAATGTTGATTGACTTTATTACTGAGGAAATGTGAACTGTTGTTCCTCTCTAGCAATGAATATACTTGTTTATCTTCTCATAAAACTGACAAAGTAGTCGTATTTCTTCCCTCTTAATGTCACGAGGCTATTATATCTGCCATGCTTATAAAACACCCCAAGTGTGTTGTGTCTCTAAACAGGTGGCCATTGTCATCAAGTACTTCTTCCAGTTTGGCTTCTTTCCTTGGAATAAATATGTGGATTACACAAAAGATAAACCTTACCATCCACCCAATATTATTGGCATTGAGAAGAAAGAGGGTTACGTGCACTATGATCTTGTTCAGCTCCTTGCTTTATTCTTCCACAGATCCATCTTAAAGGTAATCTGAGTTCATGTAGTTTATATTTAATTTTTAGTTTTAATGTTTCTAGTCACTCATGTGATATAGGAAAGTCACTCATTTGGATATTAGGAAACATTTCTTCACTGAAAGGTTTGTCAAGCATTGGAACAGGCTGTCCAGGGAAGTGGTTGAGTCCCCATCCTTGGAGGTATTTAAAAGATGTGTAGATGTGGTGCTTAGGGACATCGTTTAGTGGTGGACTTGGCAGTGTTAGGTTTATGGTTGGACTTGATGATCTTAAAGGTCTTTTCCAACCTAGGTGATTCTATGATTCTATGATTCGGTGATATCCCAACACAAAGAATTTGTCTTCCCCATTGTGAACACATGACTGAGCTTAGCAATGCCTGTGATAAATACTGTGATAGAAATACAAGGCTGAAATGCTCTCTTCTTCTTTTTCCACTAGTGCCATGGATTATGGGATGAAGACGAGAAAGGGGACAGCTCCAGTAATAAAGAGGATACTGATGATGAGCTCTCTCTGACAGGAGGCAGGAGAGACTCTTCTGCCTCTTTGAAATCTGTCAATCTTGCAGCATCGGTAGAGTCCATCCATGTCCACTTCCCTGAGCAGCAGACCGCCATCAGGAGGAAGAGCTCTAGCAGCATATCACAGCTTTCGCACAGGTCCAGTTTCTCCTCACACAGATCTAAGAGAGGTAAATGTCATGGCATTTCTGTGATTTGAAGAGCAAACATTCATTTCCCATAGGATTGTGCCGGTTGCTGTAGAGATCCCAGAGGCTACTGAATGCTGCTGCTCCTCAGTGAGGAAATAGGATATGAACCAAAGTATCTTCATGTTTGAAAACACTCCAAGCCTTCTTAAAGTTCAAATGGAAAGCCATACTTTGTGATTCACTATGTTTTTAAAATGACATTATCCAAAAGCTGGGAAAGGAATGCTCAGTGTGGCCCAGATCCAGAATTTCTGGTTCAACATAATCTCCAGCTAGAGGGAATACAAAGCATATGTATTTTTCATATCTGCATTTAATGATACTTGAAGTGAGAAAAAGTTTCGATTAGGTATATTGAAACAGATTACCTATGCCATCTTGTAAAAAGGATGGGCTTACTCTAGCTTGAATGTGTATATTACCAATTGAGATGACTGAGTCAGATCAATCAAATGCTTGCCTTTATTGCTAGTCTTCTCTTTTTATAGTTATTAATCAAGTTTTGATCTGCCAGTGATTAAGCCTTTACTGGATGCTCTCAAGATTTTATCCTATTGGAAAAAATGCGTAAGAATTCATTTCAAAGCTTCTTTCAAATGTGGGACATATATGGAATGGAAGTCTCAAGGTGAATTACTTTCTAGTTTTTGTATTTAAAGTTTGATTTTGAATTAG